AGACCATCGCTGACCCACCATCAAACCGGTCATGCTGGATGATGTTAAAGGCAGCATAACGTTCACCACAGCATCTCCAGACTCTTTCATGCTTGTCACATGTGCTCAGTGTGAATCTGCTCTCATCTGTGAAGAGAACGGGGTGCAAATTAAAGACCTGCCAATTCTAGTGTTCTCTGGTGATTGCAAATTGAGCTGCACAGTGCTGGGCTGTGAGCACAGGTCCCACTAGAGGACGTGGGGCCCTCATGCCACCCTCATGGAGTCTGTTTCTGACAGTTTGGTCAGAAACATGCACACCAGTAGCCTGCTGGAGGTCATTTTGTAGGGCTCTGGCAGTGCTCCTCCTGCTCCTCCTCACACAAAGGAGCAGATACTGGTCCTGCTGCTGGGCTGATGCCCTTCTGTGGCCCTGTCCAGCTCTCCTCCTGTAACAGCTGGTCTCTTGGTATCTCTTTCATGCTCTTGAGACTGTGCTGGAAGACGCAGCAAACCTTCTTGGGATTGCATGTATGGATGTGCCATCCTGGAGGAGCTGGACTACCTGTGTTTCCTGTTTGGGCTGCAGACACCACCTCATGTAACCAGTAGTGACAAGGACACAAGCAGAACACAAAGCTAGAGAAGAATCAGTCAGGAAGGATAAGGAGAGAGCAACTGTCTGTGGACACCACATATAAAACCATTCCTTTTTGGGGTGTTGTCTTGCTTTTGCCTCTCCATTGCACCTGTTGTCACTTTCATTTGCACCAAATTTGCTATCCCTGAATTTAACAGACTTGGTGTTATACTAAGATGATTAAGTATTCCCTTAATTTTTCTGAGCAGTGTACATATTTTTCCTCTTACCTGTAGAGCTATTTATCAGTCTAGATTGTTTTGGTATGAGTTACCGAGTGTTGAAGATATCAGCCATAGAGATGTCTGCCTTCTCTTCAATATAATGGCACTCAGCTTGAAAAAAAGGTGGCAGTTTGCACTTCAGCGGCAAATGAGTTCAGCTCTTACTCTCTGCGACAACTGCCACCGCCCCCCCTGCCACGAAAGGTGCCTCTGTGCATTGGTATCTGATGCCGAGGTCAGTGACAAAGCAGCAGTATTTGATGAGTTGGGAATGAGAACAGGAAGTACATGCACACCTCCTTCTGTGCGGTGATATTGTTGTTGGGTGTAACTCAGTAGAAAGAAGATAGTTCTTATATGACACTGCTCACAACAAGGTCTTTGGATTACCTCGAGTAACTCAGTCATGGGTGCCTGAAAGACACAATGCTGTTTTCAAATGTATTTTTTTTGGTGCTTTGTGCACCACAATATCAGTGCCATCTTAGTTCCATTTTATTTGACAGAAGGCAAACATCTCTACGGCGGATATCCCCAACACTTGGCAGCTCACACCAAATCAGTCTAGACTGATAAATAGCACTACAGGGAGGAGGAAAAATATGTATTTTTTAATTTGGGTGTGAGCTGTCCCTTTAAGAGAGCTGTCAGAGATAAATGCCCATTAACTGGGGATTAAAATGCAAGAAGACTATAACTTTAAACAAACAGATGAGGGAAGTTGATAGAAATAATTATGAGACAAGGCAGCATGAAGAAAAGAAAAAGAACGATTAAAGTAACAAGCAAAATAAAAGAAAACAAAGTGTGTTTGTGCAAACACTGACATTGATTTATAGGGGTGTTGTTACACTTGTTTTCAGGCATTTTAACAAACAGCCTCAACGCGCGCTCATTTACTAATGAGCTCCCAACATCTCCTGCATATATGAAACCCCTAGCTCTCACATCTTTCACATCAAATCTGAATAATTTTATGTTTTGTTTTTATTCTATTCAAGGTTTCTTTTGTAGCTCCTCTTAATGCCATTCTGTCTAATGTAAAGCACTTTGAATTGCCTCATTGATGAAAGGTGCCACACAAATAAACTTGCTTTGCCTTTCATGAGCCGCCCAGTTTGCTGCTTGTATAGATAATCGATATAGCTGTATGTGGTCTCTTTCGCCTCAGGAGCTTTTGATGGGGAAACTACGTGACATTAACACGCTATGTGTCTCACCTGCATCTAAATAACCACATCCATGTCTGAAAAAGTCAACCCTGGTCTGTGCCTGTGTACCGCTAATGAGGGACAATTAAGTATTCTAGAGATGCGAGTGTCGCGAGGCTATCATTAGGCCTCAGTGAAAGGTCAGCGCCAAGGGTGTCGCACAACCTTCTACTATGACTTCCTGTCCCAGGGGAAACTTGGATGAGCATTGATCAAACAGGCTGACATAAACACTAGTTAAGTGCATGTTGATAAGTCTATTATCTTACTGTTAAAACTACATGAACTCCTGATATAGCAGTGAGCGTCTGTGTCTGAGTTCTAATGAGAAACTTTGTCTCTGGAAATGTAACCTTTTTAGATGTACTGTGAACTTAGATGTGGGTGTATTTTGAGAGAGGGCAAGGAAAACACTCAGTTCTTGCATGGCGTAATATAAAAGATAAACCTGACAGTCGTGTAATAAAGTAAGAGCTCAAAGTCTTTCTGCTGCCTCCGCTTCCTTGTGAGTCAGCCAGCCCTCTTTCCCCTTCTATTGTCAGACGGTTTGGAAATATTTACTCCCAGGTGTTGACTTTAGCAAACGTCTATTTACTTTAAATGGAAAGCTGTGGTTTGCCCTCTTATAATTCATGTAGCACGTCCATCAATCTAAATCTGTTCTCTTGTAGTTTTTTTAGTTCATTTATATGCACTAAATGCCAGAAAGGTTTATCAAAGAAAGACAAATCCAGGGAAGTTGTATTCTGTGGGCAAACTGAGCCGCTGAGGGCAGAAAGTGTTGAGAGGAAATTATATTTTTGTACGTAGCTACACACACATACACACACAAAGACGACAGGCAAATATAGGTCAGCTGTAATTAAAGAAAGAAGCCAACTTCGTATTGTTGTTTCTGTCTAGGGCTGCTGTTGGGGGATAGTCGAGCTGTTAAGGATAGCACATAAATGTTAAATAGTTTTTCTCTACATGGCACTCAAACACTTCATTATCATTTTATGAGTTCAGCATGCTGAGTTTTCATTGCAGGCCGTTTGGCTGTTGGCCAGAGGGCTTGCAGGTTGCTGCTGTGGGAATAAGACGAACCTTCTGTGGATTGCCCAGCAGGGTTTACAGGATGCACACGCTGAAGCTACAAATCTCAGCTGTGCAGGGATGGGTGATTACAAAAGCGTTCCTCCACAGCTGAGACTGAAAACAATGGACCAAGTGCATAAAGATAAGCCAGCAGTTGATACCTGTGGTTTTTCATGGAGAATCAGCAATGATGTGAGGCATATATATTTTAAAATCTGCTCATGCCTGACTCTGCTGGATTTATACACCTCACTCTTTACACAAGCAGGGTTTGAGGAGAATATGAATGCAACAGTTATTTTCTATTTATTAGAATAAAGGAGTCTTATTTTAGACTCCACGTTCTGCATAATAAAGGCTTCTTAAAATCTTCTCTTACTGACTGTCCTAACTTCACACAAATCACTGCTTCTGTCACTTGCTGCAAATAATTATGTCCCCAGCATGGTCAGATTAACCCACTAGGGGGCCTGGGGCAAAAATGAGCTGTGGGTTCCTGTTGACCGCCCCCCTCCCCCTCATGTGCATGTGCCAGGTTACTTTCAAGTGCAACACACACAGCAGACTACCCATGGCAGATTAATTATATTTTCCCTGGAGCCCCAGAAACCAACCAGCACTTCTTAGCTGGATTACTGTCTCACTCGAAGTTTGCTGTATCTCAGTTAGTTTATGGTAATTTTCTGAGTATGCACCATATACACACACCATTTAAACTGAAATAATGAAGGCTGAAATATACCTTTTGACAAAGGTCACCATGCAAGACTGAGCATTAGGTCCAGTGCCCTAAATGCTTTTATTATTTTATACTTTACCCACACAAACAAGCAATTAATCAAATGAACAAACAATGACCTTGGGGCTTTTGTGGGGCAACAGTTGTGTGGAGCCATGGGACATTTATAACCAAATAAATATGACCTTGAAGTATTTATGTTTGAATATTTGGAGCAATATTTGACTCATTTCACCCCAGCTCGTCAGAGATGATTAAGAAAAGCTATTCCCTCCATCTGACAGCGGTTCTTATGAACAGCATTTTTCTCAGCACCCTTGTTCATTGATTATTTGCGCGGTGCAGAGTCGATGTTGTTGGTGATTGAAGAGGCGCTGCGCAAACACAGAATGAGAAAATTAAATCTCATTAATTAAACAACAGAGCAGAGGAGTGAGTCTCTGTCTATCATCCGATGCCCTTCTGCGGGTGTGGGATTGGTTTACAGCAACATTAGTCCCACTTTATCTTTCAAACTCTCAGCGGCTCGGCTGCCTAAATTCATCTCCCCAGTGTATGTGCCCTGAATTTCAACTTATTATTTATTTGAAATAGTTCAAGCTGAGGCTTTTAATTTAATCTTTACTTCACTGAAACATTCCATTATAACATCAATTCAAAAACAAATGTCTCCTGTAAAAGATCATGATTACACTCACAGTCATGACAGGATACAGAGAGGCATTACATTCACAGAGATCACATTATCACGGCAGTTTCTCAGTTATGTGCTCTTTCAACATTCGTAACCTTGTAATTTAACAGAGAAGGAAAGGCTGGTGTTGACATCAATGGACTGTCCATGGAAAAAAATGTTTCATTTGTAGAATTGGCCTGTTTTAAATGTGCTGAAAAGATACACAAATTTGCAGATTTAGTGTAAATTCTGAAGTATTAATTTTGTTGTTCGCATCTACAGCTGTGAGAAATTGCACAGATACATTTTGCATGTGTGCGCGCGGTCAGTGGGAGCAAGAGGGAGAGAAACAGTGAGAGTAAATATTTCTTTTTGTGTGCATAGTTGCACAGGAGTATAAATCTCATTTGAAGCACCTCAACTCTTGATCCTCAGCTTTCCTCAAGGACTTCATTCGTCTCACTGTCTACACTCGTTGCAATGAACCTTTTGATGTATATTGCCTTACCTTGAAAAATGACAGGAAATTAATTTAAGTGCTTGTACTGAACCTTGTATTTATTTCTTTGCCTTTTATTGTTTCATTATAGGCATCAACCTTTTCCCCAAGACAACACAGCACATGCTATTTTTTGCTTCTAAATAAATTAGACAGCTGCTGTACAGTGTTTGACCTTGTCATTTACTCAGTTTTCAACAGATATACACCATCGATTTCAATAACTTTGATCTTTTGCTGTGTTTTAGATACTACTGTTTACTATTAGCCTACTTTTTAAATAATTTGGTTTCAATTTTCCAGTTTGTTTTTACTGAATGAAACAATGTAGACAATTGCACCATATAACAAACACAAATACACCAACTGTCCAACGCACTGGGAAACCTCCTCATCACTCATATTCTTTTCATGTTTCTTTGTGGGTGTTTTTATTTTTTAAAAAAACCCAATCTGATTTACTTTTCTTTTATCCAAATAAATCCTGCATCACTTGGTGACACTCGGTGGTTAATCCCACTCATGATGCCAAAGCTGTGGCAAATGTTAATTGAGGCTCATCTCAGACAGGTGTCTGAGTGCTGCAGCTATTCAAATCTTAATAATGATTGACATCTACACACATGGCAAATTACCAGAGAGCAGCACAGGTATCGCCTGTCAGAGGCTGAGTGAGAGAAACAGAGACATACTGCATGGCGAGATAGAGAGAGTCATTGTATAACAAGTAGAAATGTGTGCGGAGTGAATCTTGGAGCACGCAGTGAAAGTGGGGCACATCCCACTGGGTAGTCCATTATGATTTTGTTGTTTTCAAAACCCCAAAAAGACATGTTGACAAGTTTGAGAAGGATGCACCGTCACGGTAAACAACTCCAGATCAATAGTACTACTCTTTGTGAGTTAGTCATTCACTCCTACGGAGGAGTTGAAGGAGTCCTCCGTCACAGTAAGCCTCAGACATCCATTTGGACGAGCACCAGAACTGGCGGTGCTTCAGCCACTTTGGCCTTACGACGCAGCAGATGAGTCAGGCTCCTGAAGGAGGGCGTGGCGTGCAGGAGAAGCTCCTTGAGACCTGCCCGAAACTCCCGGCGAACTAGGCAGTAGAGCACGGGGTTGAGGCAGCTGTTGGTGTGTGCCAGACACACAGTCAAGGGGAAGGCGTAGGCCTGTGCATTATAGAAGGCCTTGCTGAAGGGCACAAGGTCAAACTTTATGAGCACTCCCCACAGTGTCAGCGCCTGGTTGGGAAGCCAGCACAGAAAGAAGGACAGAACCACGATGACAATGGATTTGGTCACTTTGGAGCGACGTCTCTGCCGGCCCTGCTCCACCTCTGGGCCCCCTGCGCCTGCGATGCGTCGGCTGAGGATGATGCGCATGAGCAGCAGGTAGCAGACGGTGATTATGATGAGAGGAATGAGGAAGCCTAGGAGGACCTTTTGCAGTTGGTAGAGACCCAAAAGAAGCTGTGGATCCCAGGTGCCTGAGTCTGGGAAGCGCACCAGGCAGAGCTCCTCATCCGACACCTGGACGCTGGTGGAGTAGATGGCATGAGGCAGAGTGGCCAGCAGAGACACAGCCCAGATGCCCAAGCTCGTCCATTTGGCTCTCGTGGCTGCCGCTCGCCGGCTGTGCATCTTCAGAGCGGTGCAGATAGAGTAATAACGTGCCACGCTCATAGCTGTGAGGAAGTATACACTGGCGTACATGTTCATGGTGGTGACGGAGCTGATGATTTTGCACATCACGCGGCCAAATGGCCAGCGGAAGTCCAGGGCCGTGTCCACTGCCCAGAAAGGTAAAGTCAGAACAAACTGGAGGTCTGTGATGGCCAGTCCCATCACAAAGCAGTTGATGGATGACTGCTTCTGCCTGTAACGTGAGTGAAGCAGATACAGAGCCAGTGAGTTTCCCACCAGCCCAAGTGCACAGACTATGGAGTAGACACAAGCTATCATCACACGCACCACCAAACTGGAGCTGTCTCCTTGGATTTCCATGATAGATTCCTTGGTGAGGAGCTGCAGCCAGCAGTGCAGCGACAGATTGCTGGTGGAACCTCCGCTACAGTTTCCAGTGATGTCTTCCTGTAGTATCTGCTGCTCACATGGCTCTGGAGCCAGTGTTTGAACTCCAGTCTCATTCAGCTGCATGGCTTGACTCTCTTGCTCACATATCATCTCAGACATCAGAGTTGGACAGTTATGTGTTACAGAAGAGAGACAGAAAAGTTTGTGATGATGGCATTATGAGCATCCCTGTTGTATCTGTGTCAGGTTATGTCCCACTGCGCTAAAGATACTATCCTCTGCCACGATTATCCTCTCCTTCTCTCTCCACGACTACTCACAGCTCTGCGCGCCACGTCCGTTTATAGGTTCCACGTGAACGCGCACAGCTCAGTCGCGCGACCGACGCTCATCTCCTCAGCAGCCACATTATTGGACCAGAGCAAATTCACACTCGTGATGGATGCAGCCACATCAAAGCTTCCCAGCACGTCCGTCAGGTGTGAATGTGAATGTGTTTTGACATGACACCGGGACCTTCTGGATAATCATGTTTGTGCTGTGCCGCTTTTTTTTTTTTTTTTTTTTTTTAAAGGGAGCTTTGGAGACGTGGAAACAATAGTGCGCGTAAAATATGCAAAGATGTGGAGAGGACGGCTGCATGAGCTGAATTCCGACTGTACATTAACAACACGGGCAGTCCTGTGTTTGATGTTTACACATTGCGCATTTGAGGATGAGAGAGATCAAGGACATAACATGAAAACAAAATGTACCATCCTGGAGGCGTTTGCAGAGGAGCATCCTCTCTGGTATGCGCCCTGACTCCTATAGATTTCTGTAGGATGAAGCTATCTCGCGCAATTGTATAATTTAGGCCTGTGTGCTTTTCACAAAGCTCTGGCTGCTGCAACTTTGTAAAAGAGAAAAGAAACGAGGTCAGAAGCGTCTCTGCCGATCGTGTAAATGAACCTCTGTGCTCAAAGAAACTCACTGAAAAGAAAGTTTCCAATACGACTACAAGGCCTGCTAATAATGGTGATATTGCACCTTTGAAACGATCCTTAACATGTTCAAATATTTACTTTTTTAACTTTGCAATATTTAAGCTGTTGAGGATTAACTTTCTCGAAAACCGACTTTATTTATACTTTGATTATAAATATAAAAGTAAGATCAAATCTCTCTGCTCCAAATCAAAAGGTTATTTTAAGCATTCAGAAGACTGAAGAGTTTTTGCAGATACTCTCAGCACAAATGAAATGAAATAGATAGCTATAAATGTAAACAGAAGGGAGTTAATTATAATCAATGTGAAAATGTAGAATACCCCCAACATACTGATTATGAAATGTTTTGTGGCTCAAATTTATTGAATGAATTTATTTCTGCTTGTTAGAGAAACTGTGATTTTCTGTCCGTCCAAATTGTAATAATATGTTTCTTTTGCCACATGATGTAATACAAAATCATAGATCTAATCAAAATTCACTTTCCTCCCTGCTGGCTGCCAAATGACATCGACAGATGGGTAATGTGATGTGGCACCAGTGCCGGACCATTCATATTCAGTGTGAATATGAATGGTGAGTGTGAATGGTTGTCTGTCTCTATGTGTCAGCGCTGTGATAGTCTGGCGACTTGTCCAGGGTGTACCCCGCCTCTTAACCAGTGTCAGGTGGTTGGATTTAGGTAACAAAAGCACGTGATTAGGTCTAGGAAAAAGAGTTTGGCTGTATAATCTTATGGGACTCGAACACCTTTCTATTGATGTGTTTCCCCCTGACGCCACCAAGTGCCGTTAAACTCTAACGGCAAATTATGCTGACATTAAAGGACAGGTTTTCTGTTAGTGTCTGACACCTGAATCACTGTCCAAGCGCCAGGTTTCGATGACTTCAGAGTGAGAGTGTATTTGGTAAGCATTTGACAAAAAAATTAAAGTCTACATTAATCAACCATCGAAAACAAATCAGGATATTGTGCAGACAGGGACGGAGCTAATAAGACAGTTAAAAGAGCATATGGTATGTGCAAATTTACAAATGCCATTTACTTGTTTTTGTGCTGAATGTCAGAAAGGGCAGGGGGGTACATAGGGTTCACCAACTTTAATAAATATTACAGATGTTTTACCCTTTTACCTTGAGTTGGGTTTCAGAGTCACCTACCTTGACTGTCAGTAATCCCTCCCTGTAAGTCTTTGAGCAAATTAAAAAGACATGACCGGATGAAAAAAAATTAATCTTCACTGTTTTAATCTGTTGTGACCCAATTCTTGACATTTTAACAACCCTGAAACCTCAAAATGCGCAAGCACTGACAGTATGCCTGGTTTAATGTTCTAAGTGTTCAAATCTGTGATGTAAAGTCTGCACAGGCTGCTTACTAAGCACCTGACATTTCACAGGTTGCATAACAGAACCCCTTTTCATCTACTCCAATTCATTATGCAGCTGTGAAAGACAGCTCACATTTATGCTGTGATCGGAATGTTGATAAAGCCATCAGTAACTGTGAAGGCTGATGGAAAGTAGCCTACTTAGCATATCAGTAAATACATTTTGGTCATTGTAAGCATACTTCTAATATCACAGACGGAGCCCTCTCTCAGGCTCTAGGCTTGCCATGTTACCTCTGTAGATTCTGCACATTGAAATGCGAATGGACTAGTTCGGCCAATCCATGTTTGTTTGTTGACTGTTAAAACAAACCTGGTGTCCTCAATTCAGCAACTAGACTAGAGGACACCAGCTGTGCTGATGTAGCCGGAGCACTGTGTACTCCCTCTCACAGCAGGGCGCTGTATTGATTTTATCTGAAGCACTGATTGATGGGCGGCGCTGCGCCGCACCACGGCGCTATATAGTGTGGCCATACTGTGCGCGCCTCCCTCTCTCTCCTTCCCGGATCTCCTGGTCCCCCGTGGTGGCTGTGGCCTGGTGTGTCGGGCCTTGTGCAGGTGTGGTGGAGCTGGTGTGGCTGTGTTGTAATGCTTGTTGGCACGTCTGCCATTGAGGCGCACGCTTCCTCTTGCAGCACACAGTGTGGCAGACTGTTGGTGGCGTGGGGCCGGGTTTGCCCCGCTGGGAGCCCTCCTGGGTGTGGTTGTGTCTCCAGGTGCCTTAGAATATCTCTCCTCTGGCCCTCCGTGAGGCTGCGCCGGTGAGGCTCGAAGTGATTGAATTTACTGCCACCGTTACCTGGACGGCGCTGCTGTTTTGACTCTGCTCTTTTCTTGGTGGCCTGTTTTGGATCTCCCGGACCCTGTCTTGGTCCTTGGGTTTGTGTGGCGCTGTTTGGCCCGTTGACTCCCCATGGCCATTTAGCTCTTCATTGAGCTGGCGTCTGGACTCTTACATTGCCACTAGCCTTTACTGATTTATTAACTGACTTCCTGTTGTTGGGAATAGAATTATTTTGTGTTTTACTATAAGTTTACTATAAGTTGTGTTGTGTGGACTCTGGATACAATGACTGGAGGTGAACGGGGCTGAGGAGGGAGCGAAGATTTTGCCTAAAATGCCAGCTGACAGCAGCAGAGGAGAGAGCAGATTTAAAATTTTGCAGTGGCATCCTGATTGGCTGAGAGAGATCGTGGCAAAGTTTGATTGGATAACTAGAAGAGTGAACACCCATAGTCAGCTGATTAGAGGAAGCAGTGAGAGTGGGATGGAGAGCATTGTGAATGAATGAGCACAAAGAAAGTCTTCCTGATTGAACTAACGCTGAGCTTCATTTGTAGTAGTGATGAAACGGTGATAAAACTTGAACAAACCAAGCATCAGATGAACTGTATTCATAATAAAAACGCCAAAGTAATATAAATAACCAGTGCCAATTTATCAGTCAATGAAAATGTGTGTGTTTGTGGGGGGGCGGCAGCAGCGACCCACTGTACAACACCAGCACACTGTGAGGACAGAAACATAGGGCTCGGTGGGAGCGTAAACTCAGACAGTGACAGAGCTAGCCATTAGCATGAGAAGCCTAGCATTATTACATAACGTAACTGTTATTTGTGGGTTTAATGACAGAGTTGAGCCATTATGGTGTCAGTGTGAGTTTGTTGGAACTGTTTAACAGCTCTGTGTTGGATGTTAAAGTTTTAAAGTTTGCTGATCAGGCATGGAGTTGGAACAGTCCGGAATCAGAGCCCCGGTGCAAAAAGGACTGAATGCAGGTATAGTTTGACATGTTTTTTAAAAGAGGCTCGAGACTCATCTTTTTAATCAGGCTTTTAACTGATCTCTTTATTTATCTATTTTAAATTCCTTTTATCAGGCTTTTAACCGATTTATCTATTTGTTTTTGCTCTTACCCTTCCTTTTTTTGCGTTCTTATCTCATTTAATTTTTATCTTTTGTTATTTTAGTTATAGGTTGTAGTTTTGATGCATTTTATGTCTCTGTTTTAGATCATTCTTACCTAGTTATTAACTCAATTTTATGAGCTAAATAGCTTTTTGTTTATTTGGTTCATTTTATACCTTTTTTCCTATCCTACGGTTTTAGTCCCTCAGTTTTTAGCTCCAGTGTTTCCTCATGGGGGCCTACCACACTGAAAGTTATTCCTGGTCTACCGATGGGGGTGCTGTCTCGTGAACAGTTCTGACCTGGGTGGCTGAAGGGCACTGCACCTTGGTGTGGAGCCTCATGTCTTCCTGTGGCCATGGACCGTGGGCCCTCTCACTGTGGACGGCCCCCATTGGTGGCTTTTTCCTTGCCTCGGGTCTCAGTGCTCGGCCATGTCTCTTTAGTGATAGCTAGTGTGTGTGGGTGTGAGCTTGTGTGTGTGTGTGTGTATGTGTATATGTGTATATTTATGTATCTCTATGTGGGGTGGGAGGGTTGGGTTTTCTCTTTTCTTTTTTGTTTTCTGTTTTGGTTCTTTGTTGTTTTTAACCTCTGTGAGGCACTTTGTGTTACTGTTGTATGAAAAGTGCCATATAAATAAAGTTGATTTGATTTGATTTGATTTGGAGAAGTTTGGATACTAGTTAGTACTGGCATATTTCGGAAACCCAGCCCTAATGCAAAAGACTGAAAAATTCACCAGGAATCTTTGTAGTGATTTCCTGAAAAAACAATGCTGTGGTGGGTCAAGAGGTCAAATCATGTGTGAATAAATGTCTGTGGAGGAAAAGACCAGTATTTGAGTTTGTGGGATTTTGTCTGTTGACTCAAAGATCACAGATTAGAAGATAAATTGAAGTGCTGCTTGGCACAAATGCACCTAGAAGCTGAGTCTTCGGCTTTCTATTTACACAGTGCTTGCTAATGAGAGAGCTAGTTGACACGCCCACAGCGATAAGTGGTAATTTGTTGGCTTCCAGCAGGGTCTTTACAATAATGCTATCTATAATCTCAAAGAAGACAAAGCCTGATGATTGGGCCCCCTTCAATGGAGAAACCTCTATTATTATTAACCCTTTCATGCATCAATTGTTACTACCTCAGTCAAGATTTTTTTTTTGTTGTTTTTATTCCTCTTCAGGCAT